TGATCTAAAGGATTTGCACTTACTATAATTTGTACATATGCATTCCTATCATGTTTTCTCTAGCTCTTCAGCCCACTATGGTCAGCTGCTCCAGCCCATTCAGTCTGCCCTCTATGTTCCCTTTTGAATGTCCACTGTTATGGTTTTAGGCCTGGTCTACACTACAGACCTATATTGGTATAACTACATCGTTCAGGGGTGTGAAAAATCCACACCCTTGAGCAACGTAGTTATACCGACCTAATCCTCTATGTAGATAGTGCTATGTAGGCTGCAGAGCTTTTCCTACCGACATAGGTACCGCCTCTCAGGGAGGTGGATTAACTATGCCGATGAGAGAGCTCTCTCCTATTGGCTTAGAGTGTCTTCATTAAAGCGCTAGAGTGGCACAGCTGCATCAGTGCGCCTGCACCTGCACCAATGCATCACTTGCTCTTAGTTAACAAACCACATCCCACTGCACTTTTCTGCCTGTTGCTTAGCTGCTCTAAGCTTCTATTTCACCTTTGCTCATGGGTCTCTTTTTTCAAGCCCTCGGAGCTCAGTCACTTCCAGTGACTCACTCGGATTGCAGCCACCCAAAGGACTTCTGCTTCCTTAACCCCTCTGCTACCAGCCAACTATTTTGATCTCTGTTCATTGCCCTTGGCCTTTAGATTATCTTAGAGATCCAATAAGGTACAGAAGAGAATTCAAGAAGGTTTAATAAATAGCAGAAAATTGCACCTCTCAATCTTTGGCCTTTGTTTCTATCACCAGTGGAAGGCTGAGTGCATATTTCATTTCATAACCTTGCTATATGCTACAAAAGTAAGCACAACAGAAAATCAAACACCATGGATCAACTCCTCAGAAATACTGTTGAATAAGCTTTGATACTTCCACATCTTCACACTAAAACAAAAAGAAATAGTCACATACAAATTCAATTTCTGAAGCTCAGGAAACTTTCTCTAAAAAACAACTTAGGACCAGATTCTAACCTAGGCTGCACCACTATAGATCCGCAGCAACTCCCCTGAAGTTATTCTTGATTTATACTGGTGTAACATATCAGATTCTGACCCACTGGGAATACATGATTAAGATCCTTTCCAGCTTGTTCTAAAAGGGACAAAGCAAGTCCCTATATCAACTGGCACGGGTGATTCAAATTCATGAAAATTAATCTTGGGAGTGCTATTCCTGCTTCTGGATTTTGACAGTGTTGTTATACCCTTAGTAGCTCATTAGCTTTAAATCTGTACTAAATACCCTCTGGGAAGTGGAAAGGACACTGAAAGATAGACCTGATCTTTGTTGTATTTCAAATATAAATCCCACTGCACGTGTAATTCCAGATCTGGAGATGTGACACAGGTGAATGGATACTACAGTATGATAATAGGACCATAGACTTTATCAATGTGTTTATCAACACAATAACATATAGAGTAATTGAACTAATTATAAGATACTAGGTAAAGCCAAAATCTTGAGTAGTTTAAAGATGTTCGTTATTTTTAAAGACATTGATATAAAGTGTTGTAACCAAATGAATACAAATGAAACAATCAAGGGTATTACAAAGTAAGTGGCTTTTGAGACCATTACCTGCCTCCTACAGTATCCTGGTCCTCTGCCATATCCTTGGAGACCCAATGAATGCAAACTGAATGAGTGCAACCGGGCCAGGGTTTCTATCATAGCAACATACAAAGCAGCTCGCTCTGCTGGACTGACTTCAGGTAGTGTGAGGTCTCGGAATATGCGACCCTAAAGACATCATAAATCAGATATTTGGTTGGATGGAAGGAGGAGGGGAGGGAAAGGTCACACAGCTCAACAGCACAAGATGTGTATGATGTATTAACAGTCACTGCATCAGTAATCTCTTCCTCTTGTCCAGGAAGGTCCAGGCACTCTTGCTCACTGAAATCCAAAAACTACCAATCTCACAGGATCTCCCTGAGCAGTGAATTTAATATATATCTTGTAGATCCTGAACTAGAACTCTAGAACCAGACACCCTCAAACTCTGAGGTGTGTGAAATCCAGATTGTATTTCTTGGGTCCATCTCAAATATTCTGAATCAAAATAATTCAGTGTATAAATTGAAAAACGAAATGATAAGCTCTAGTTTAATAAGGATTTTTCACATTTCAAAAATAGTTTAAAGTAATCCACTTACTTTTTTTGGGGGGGGAGGGAGAGAAAGAGGGGCTATCATTTGCCTCTGTTGTGGGCCCTTTGATGTGGGTGGTCCATATACCGGCCCTATATTCCTATAATTGCTGCCTGAACAAGAACTCTGTTAGCTTTTGAAGAACAGTTGGCTAATGCATTCATCAGTTCTTTCAAAAAAACACTGTGGACTCAGAAACGTTGAGGGCCTGGGATGGAGAACAGTTACCCAACCTTAAAGCCGGACCAGCTCCCCCTAATAAGTCTAGGGTTTTCACACCAGTGATCCTGCCTGACAACCAACCTGAGAAGATCATGTTGAATGGTGAGCCAAACACATGACCCTGCGAGCGAGAAATAAGTCCTAAAAAAAAGGAAGTAAATTGGGGCTATTGGTGATCAGCACCTCTGGAAAAAAAAAAACAAGCATTTTTATTTAGGTGCCTAAAATGGGGCTTAGGAGTCCTATTCTAGGCACCCAAGATTGAAAATTTTTATCAAGGTTCTTATTTCAACATATAAAACGTTAGCTATTTTAAAGAGCTTGCAATGGAAATAAAACCAAAAAGAAAAGAAAACAAAAAACTACAACATGTATTGACTAACCTGTATATGTTCCATCACATAAAATTCAGTTCCAATCACAGAAACATCACTGCAATACAGTAGGGGCTCAGGGACTGGAAATCCAGCTGCAAATAATGCTTTCTGCACATGATATTCTCTATCAACCTAAGAAGGATATAGTATGGTAGGTACAGAATAATGTTCAAATTCTTCAAACGCATTTAATTAAATTTATTTTACATATATACAGAATATAACACCGTGCCCTACTAAACACCAAGCGCTGGATTATGTATGCAGTACAGAACACTGCTACTGGTGTGTGCATTTGAATAATTAATTGCATTTTCTAATATTTCTAACATTCAACACTTAAATTTTTATGCCAATAGTTGCGCGAGGGAAATAGCCCACTTGAGAGTTGGGCCTGGTATAAACTTTAATTTTCGTTATCTTCAATCAGATTTATATTAACAACATCTAGAGCAGCTCTGTCTCTGGGTTAAAGTTGCTAAGAGCAAGACAACCCTTCAGCCAGTTAAAGCAACTAACTGTTAGTTCCCCAGTTCCTTGTCAGTATAGGGGTCATGTGACAGTTGCAAAGCGGCCTATACATTTGTTTTAAGAAATGCGAAAGGAGGAAATACGGAGATGTGTGAGATGTGTGGGCAAGGGAAGTTATAGCCATCAACATATCAAGGCCTTCTAATGAATTGGTGCCATCTGTACCAGCCAACTAAAGACAAAGACCACTACAGGCTATGCTGGCCTAAGTGCCCAGAAGACTTTGCCAGCACCGAGTTACTGACCAGACATGACATCACCCAATCCCCTGATCTGCAGTCCTGACTGTGCAATGTGACGCCAAAGACCACACAAGCCAAAGAATGCATCTTTTTCCTTAAATATTTCCCCCTTTTTCTTATGTTGTTATTGGGTGGTGATGCCCCCATTATTATTATTCTCTAACACTTTTGAGGTGTGCACATGTGTGTTTAAATGATTGCATGCATATGTGAGTTCATTTGTAGTAAGCAACATTAATCATTTCCTAATTCAAGTTCTAGGCAGTCCTGCTTTAAACTTAGACTGTTGCCCTGAACAGTGAGGGGTGTCAGCAATACCACACTACTCTACAGGAGAAGTAAGAGCTGTCGACTGCTGTTGTATCAAAGACTGGGTAATTAAACCAGAGAGGGAGTGATCAGTATAGTCACTAAGCACACAGGAACTTTGAAAGGAGTCTAAATATTGCTTCAAGGGCTGAGAGGTAAACAAGTTTGGTTCTGATTCTGAAACGTTCAACCAGTTCAATAGATTACCTTGCCATGAGCAAGACCCCGTAACTGGCGGTCAGAGCTAAGCAGATGGCTGCCTCCTCAAGTTTCTGTATTTGTAAAAATTGATCATGCGCTGTAGCAGTTTTATGATTAAGGTTACGATTATGTCATGGAGGTCACAGAATCTGTGACTTCCAGAGACCTCCGTGACATTTTCTGCCCGCAGCTCTCAGCCACGGTTGGCGGTGGGCCCCCAGGAGCTACCCAGCTGCAGTGGGGGGAAAACCTCCAGGCTGCCCAGCCACAGTGGGCAGCGAGGGGACCCCACATGGGCTCAGCCGTGGCAGGGGGGACCCCAGAGCTCCCAGCTGCTGCAGGGGGCAAGGGGACCCCAGAGCCCCCAGCTGCTGTAGGTGCTAGACCCTCCTCTCTCCACATTTTGTCAGGGATATTTTTAGTAAAAATCAGAGACAGGTCATGGGTGTTCGTGAATTTTTGTTTGTTGCCCATGACCTGTCCCTGATTTTTACTAAAAATATCCGTGACAAAATCTGAGCCTTACTTATGATTTGATTATTGTATTACTTTGATGACTTGATTAATTGGTGACTCAGTTCATATCATCATTAATTCTAATTGTGAGCTTGATTTGATAATGTACTGTCTAATTCTTAGTATAGTAAGTGTTTATAGTAGTTTATAGTAGTTAGCTTGGTGATAAGTTTGATTAACTTTAAATTTGCTTATTTATTAATGTGTAATAAAATCCATAAAAAGTATACAAAGCCAGTTTTTCTTTCATATTTGCAACTGGGTCAGAAACCTTTAGAATGAAGATAATTTAGCCAAGGTATTTGTGAGCCATTTGGCTCTGTCCTTAAATTAAAACATTTGTTCCTCACAGTTATGTAATTTTAGCACATGAACTATGAAATGCATTTATAGTTTGCCAAGGAATTTGTTACTCACCTGGTGAGCTTTAGGCAGAAGAGGGCCATGAGGCTTCTTCCTAAGCACATATGTCTTAAAACCCTTCTTCAAGTAAAAGGTTGGATTGGACTGGCCTGAGCTACAGAGAAACAAGAAATGAATTACTAAGAAACAAAGTTGCAAACATTTAATAGCAAGAATAACAGCAACTCCAAATTGGAAAAGTGCACATCACTGTTTGGGCTGAAGAGGATGTCCAGGTACAATTAGGGAATTCATCTCAAGGGTGTTCTTTTAAACATACAATCTTACAAATCAGCAGAGGACAGTTCAGAAAGTCAGTAATCATGGGCTCTATTCCCAGCTCTGCCACATGTTTCCTGTTTGACTTTGGAAAAGTCACAGTTATTCTATGCCTCTGTTTACTCTTCTGTAGAAAGGAGGTAACATCCACAACGATGTTGTGAAGATCAGTTAATGTTTTCAAAGCTCACTTAGATTCTTGGATGAAAAGTAGTAGCCTTGAAAATTTACCAACCTGGATTAAGAAAAATAGATTAATATTTTTTACAGTAGTGCATAAACTTCCTTTGACTTACAACAGATGTGACAGAAATGGGTATTTTCTGTAACACTTTATGAATGATACTTATGGCAGTTGACCCTTTGGCTTAGTATTGTTACTTTGTGGGTCCAGAAGGGGTAAAATGCTTCCCTTGGAACAGAGAAAAGGTATAAGATATTTGTGCCAGGCAGGGCCGTCCTTACCCATACGCAAAGTACGCAGCTGCGTAGGGCACCAGGAAACTTGGGGCACCAAATTTCCTGGTGCCCTGCGCAGCTGTGTACTGCTCCAGCCCCTACCCCACCTCTTCCCCAGACCCCTCCACCCCTGCTCCACCCCAGCCCCGCCCCCACTCCACCCCTTCCCCAAAGCCCTCGCCCTGCTCCGCCCCCGCCCCACCTCTTCCCACCCCTGAGGACTGCAGCAGGGCCGGGCCTGCACTCACCAGCAGCGGGAAGTGCAGGGACCCAGCTCCAGCCATGCTGCTGGTGAGTGCTGGGGGGGTAGTTCCCCCCTGCCCCCAAGCAAGCCCTCCCCCCACCGGAAGCCTGCCTCCCCCCCACAGGGGGGCAGCATAGGGCCCCAGAATAGCTAGGGACGGCCCTGGTGCCAGATAACTGTCTGGGATGATTTGAATGAGCCATCAAGTGCTGGCTGGAATCAACACATATCAATGGAAGATCCACAAAAAACAATGGGAACCCCAGTGACTAAATGATTGACACTTAACAGCAGGATGCTCAGGCAGGCTGGATATGGAAACTCAGCATGGTTTTCAAGTGGAAGTACTGGAGGTGACAGGAATCTGCAGTAAGAACTGGGCTGACAGAGACACCGCAGTTCTCACTTGGGATTGATAGACAGAGAAAGCCAAGATGGGCACTAGAGCAACCTGACTTGGTGGAATTTTAAGGGCTAGTCTACACTAGAATCACTACAGTGGTGCGACTGTCCTGCTGTAGCGCTGCTAGTGCAGACGCTTTATGCTGACCAGAGAGAGCTCTCCCATCAGCATAATTACTCCACCTCCCTGAGTGGCAGTAGTTATGTCAGTGGGAGAGTGTCTCCCATGGACATAGCGCTGTCCACATCAGTGCTTAGGTCAGTGTAACTTATGCTGCTCAGAGGGACAGCTTTTTCACAACCCTGAGCGACAAACTGTTTCAAAGTAAGCACTAGTCTGTACAAGCCCTAACTGTGGCCAGTCTGAACCGTCTTAACCTTTGCTTCTCTATACTAACCTAAGGAGTTCCCGATGCTATATTCCAGTTGATTAATAAACCCTACTCTGTTTTGAAAAGGCTGCCTAGTCTTGCTGCAGATGTATATTTAGGGGTAAAAGTTTCTGAACAGGAATCTCCCTCAGTTGGGACTCACTGTTCAGTGCTCATGATGAGAAAGAGGAGTGTTAGAGCCCAGAGGCCAGGTATCAGAGGAGTTGAGGCCAAGTGACCAATCCTTGTGGAAAAGTGTGATCCATTGGCAATCTGGCATATAAAGGGATACTCCCAGAAGACTGCCTAAAGGCCAAGACACAGCACAGATCCTGTACATCCGTGACAATAGGTCATATCTTGAATACAGCACACATTGAGATAGTTCTCTAATCAAGGCCCCAATCCTGTGATGGAATCCAAGCAGGTGGACTTTTGCATTAGCACTGAGCCCCAGTGAAGCCCATGTTGCTCTATATGGGCACAAAGGTCTGCTCATACTCATCCAGTGCGTGATCTGTCCCTAAGGCACTGCCTGAGGCAACTGGAGTTTTTTAAAGATGAATACTGAAATTGGGAAGTATGCTATTAAGTCACACCTCCAATCTTAATATCATATTTATTACCAAACAATGTAACCAGAGGTCCCTCCCCCTTTAAATCCCTTCAGGGACTCCTCTTTCTCCACCATATCAGGTTCCAACTTTTAGTCCTCACCTTCAATGCCCTGGATTGATCCACTACCTTCTTCTCATTCAAGTTCCTCCTTAAGATTCACTCTGCACCAACCCCTATGAGATATTAGATGACTAAAACATCCATTTATTTTGTTTAAAATAAATATATTTGCTCCTCCATGCTATGCTTGCCAAATAACCATGTCATCATTCTGGTTACCCTTCTTCTTCTTCTTCCCTAAACCCTCCGCCTACTATCTTGCTACCCTCTTTATTATGTCATGGGTAACTATGACATTCCAGGTTGCAATCCAGTACTATTGAGGGGCTGTTTCACCACTGCCCTGCAACCTTGGGTGTCTCATAATGCTTTGCGGAGGTAGCTTCCAACTTGGGTCACTCACAAACAGCCTGCCAGCAAGCAGATCATACCTGGAGTTTTGTCTACAGCTACTGCCTTGGTTCAGCAGCTTTGACACCTACAACCTGTCAGTACATACCAGTTACACTCTGGCTTCCACCAGCCTTGGTTACCATATGCAGAATTACCCCAACCCACTCCCAGATTTTCCCAAAACATGTCTGCTCTGCACTGTCAAGCCCTCTAATGCATAGTCCAGATATATTAGGTCCTTTGCCTTTCTAAGGGGTCAATATACAACAATTTGCCACTTTCAATGGAATTGCCCATACAGTTCACAACACTGGATTCGTTTTGATTAAACAATAAAACAAGTTTATTTAATTACAAAGAGATAGGTGTTAAGTGAGTACAAGTATTAAGGCATCAAATAAAAAATGTTTACAAGAAAAATAAAGATAAAATGTTTTCTAGTACTAAACTTAACAAACTAGACTTTATTCAAAGTGACATTCTTACCACAGGTTTTCAGTGGCATTGCTGACAAAGTTTCAGGTAAGAATCTGCTCCCAAGGTCCTCTTAGATGCAAGAGACCGAGGGACAGGAAAAGATAACTTGGGATGTTTTTGCCCCTCACTTTTATAGTTGAGTCACCCTTTGAAAAGCACTTTCCTGAGTGTGACCCCTAGTTAAAATTCTTTCTCGCTGAGAGCCTGGAGACATGGAGTCTGATGGAGGAAGGAGGCTTCATGCTGTTTCTTTTCACTTGTGTATGCTGTTGTTGGCGAAAATGTAGATCTCTTTGTTCCTGCCTTCTTCCCTTGCCAAATAATGGCCACCTGTTAGGTGATGGCCCATCAGCTTTGATGACACCTGACTAGGGGTGTCACCTGACACCTGACTTTGATGACACCTCAACTTGCCTTTGTCTTGGAAAAACAGGCTTCCTCACATCCCAGACTTGTCTGGCAAACATACTTCAGTCATGATTTCATCTTATACTTATAACTTTACATATAATGTTGCTACACACATTTCACCATAATGTTATTGAGCAGCAAGTTATTAGTTTTCAAATGATTCCTTACAAGGCATATTTTGTACAAAGATTATTATAATAGTGTGTGGGGTGTGAACACAGGGGTGCATTCTGTCACAGTAACATTTTCAAAAGTGCCTAATTGACTTAGGAGCCCTTGTTCCATTTTTAGAAATGACTTAGGTGCTTAGAAAACTGCATCTCATTGCAAGTCAATTACATTTATTCTCCTAAGTGTCTACGGTCTGGTCTACACTACAGAGTTAGGTTGATGCAAGACATTTAAATTTACAAAGGACATAAATCTATTTTGTCTATTCTGCTATGGTAGATGTAATCATACAGTCTTCAGTATTATAAAAAATTATATTTTAATGTCACATTCTTAGACTCATGGTCTTGTGATGTCATGTTCTTGGGGAGGAAAAAGCCACTAGCGGTTTTATAATGAGATTACCAGTGTTTCCAATTTTTTGATATATTGTCACCTCTCACTTTTTTGAGATCCAATTAAGAAGACTTAACTCACTTTTTACAAGTATTTTGTTTTAGATCACACATGTGCTAATTTATCTGGTCCCTTTCTTCAAGCCATAGAACATGAGAGAACCCCAAAGGCCCCATCACTCAGAGTTAATCATAAAAGAGTTCATCAAAGAATTTGTCCTTAAAGCAAATACTGTTTATTCACATTGAATTTGTGCCCAACAGGATAGGTTGCTGTTTTACAGTAAATAAACTTTGAACTCAATAACATGTTTTGTAACTGGTGAACTTTCACATTGATAACAGAATTGGGCTGTAGTCCACGAAAGCTTATGCTCTAATAAATTTGTTAGTCTCTAAGGTGCCACAAGTACTCCTGTTCTTTTTATTGATAACAGAAGTTACAGTATTTTGTTTCTGCATTACCGTAACATGTAGTCATGATTTTCCTTGTTGTCCCTCTTTAACTGCACAATGAGCTCAGTGCAGTACAACACACACCTCTGGCTCTGTTCAATACATGTATTTAACTGATAAACTTTGACAACATCTGTAATCTGCCTATCATAGACACTAAGGTCTGGTCTATACTACCCGCCTGAATCGGTGGGTAGAAATCGACCTCTCGGGGATCGATTTATCGCGTCCCGTTGGGACGCGACAATCAATCCCCGAATCGGCGGTCTAACTCCACCAGCGGAGGTGGTAGTAAGTGCCGCCGACAAAAAGCGGCAGAAGTCGATTTTGCCGCCGTCCTCACAACGGGGTAAGTCGGCTGCAATACGTCGAATTCAGCTACGCTATTCACGTAGCTGAATTTGCGTATCTTAAATCGACTCCCCGCTGTAGTGTAGATGTACCCTAAGGTGATGGATGCACTAAAAACAGGTAAGATACCAAAAACTAGGCACTTTGCCTTCCTTACGGGTGATCATCCTTCCCAGCATTTCTAGGATAATTATTATTTTTATCTTTATTGCATCTTTTGAAGGATGACCCTGTCTACCACAAAAACATTCACAGCTGCCAAAGTCATTCTTAGGGCTACCTAAATCAGTAGTTCTCAACCCTTTCAGATTACTGTACCCCTTTCAGGAGTCTGATTTGTCTTGCATACCCCAAGTTTCACCTCACTTAAAAACTACTTGCTTAAAATATCAGACATAAAAATACAAAAATTATTACTGAAAAAATCACTTACTTTCTCATTTGTCTGTATGAAATGTTAGTTTGTACTGACTTCGCTAGTTCTTTTTATGTAGCCTGTTGTAAAACCAGGCAGATACCTAGATAAGTTGATGTAAGACCTCTGAGTACCCCCAGGGTTGAGAACCACTGACCTAAATGACAGCTCGCTTCACACAGTGGCGGTGCCCTCGCAATCTTACACGGGCAACCGCTGAGACGCAGACATTTGTGCCATCAGAAGAAGCCACAATCTAGGGGCAGGCGGCCCAGCTCTCCTGCCCATCCCAGGTTTCCAGGGCTAATTTTCTCGAAGAGATTGTGCAAGCAAGGCTCCCTTAGCAGCTCTCACTGTCCCTGTTCTGGTGTCATGACTCGCTGCCCCAGCGTCAGGCCAGCAGCGACCGCTGTGATTTGTCCTGGGCGAGCAATGGGGAAAAGCAGCCGCAGCACGGGAGTGGGGAGACCGTCCCCGCCTGCAGGGTTACCTGTACTGCCTGGCTGTCAGCGCTTCGGGGGGCTGCACAGGAAACCCGGCCAAATGGCGGGAGAGGTATTTCTCCAGGGCTCCCTGGTCAAACCTGTGCTGCTCCCTCACCGCAGTAGTACCAGGCTCAGCTGCCATCTTCAGCCCCTCTCAGCGCTGCTGCCAAGCCCAGCCAGCGCATGGACGCTAGCAGCGTAACCACACCCCCTTCCCCTGACCTACGCCAGGCGGCACCCCTCGCCCGGCGTACGCTATTAGCGCAGACAGTCCCCTTGCCTGGAGGACCCTCCCCCCTTGGGCAAGGCTCGAGTAAGTTGCTTGAAGTTCGGCGATGCAGGGTGAAGGGGTCTGGCCAGTTCTGCAGTGCGAGGGAGTAGGTCGGCAAGCGGCAGTGAGAGCAAAATTAGCTCCTTCACCACTTCTCAGAGATGCCAGGAGTATGGCTGACAGACAGACAGGCAGACACAGATGCTGGCACCTATGTGTATGTCACAGCCAAATGTTGTCACAGCCACATTTGCAAGTTTTCCGACAAACTGTAGAGCTGATTTAGGAAAAAAAAAAAAAAGAAGTGACGATTTAGTATAAAATGTGAACACTTCGGTCTTCTTGTTTGTTTTCATTCAGGTTTAGAAGATTCCAACCCTAGCTCTGGCCAGAGCATTTCACGTGCAATCACATTGACAACCTGGTTGCAATGTATCACAGACAACCACAAGGTGACTTTTAACTGACAGCTGCATCACAGCAATCTTGTTGTGATGGTTTCAGAGTGTTAGTCTGTATCCGCAAAAAGAACAGGAGTACTTGTGGCACCTTAGAGACTAACAAATTTATTAGGGCATAAGCTTTCGTGGACTACAGCCCACTTCTTCGGAACCATCTCAATATGTGAAAACCATGTTGAAACATCAGCTTTTAAGCCTGCTGTGTGATGTTTAAATGAAAATGATGTTGTGACATTATCCTGATTTTTATCACAAATCTCGCTATATTTGGGTTTTTCTTTAAACTTCCAAATTCCGGAGTCAAGTGGTTGCATAAGAATTGGGGCCTTCACTTAAAAATGGAAGTTTCTAGCCCTCATGGTTGGCCTGAAAGCATTTAAAATTTGAACCTTAAAGTCTCAAAAACCAGAAGACAAATATAAAGAACCCAAAATGTATTCTTTTGTAAAATATCTTTATTTTTCAGCTAAGCTCCTGATTTTTAGGGGCTTGACCCAAGATTTTTTGAATGCTTAGGGTTGGTAATGCAGGATATTTTGAATCAAAACATGCCACAGATGGCCCATAAATGTTTATCATAACCATGTATTCCCCATAAGGTGTCTATCTTCTAAGTAAACAGCAGTGTCTGTGCCTCCTGTACAGTGGGGTGCATATATCGTCTATAATACCGTGAATGGCCTTATGTATGTCTCCTGTACAGAGCAATGTATCTCTGTTCCTCCAAGGCAGTGTCTCTACACATTGTTATTTTCAGATGCAAAGTTTTGGGCTCTGACTTCACCGGGGCAGTCAATAGCATTTATTTTCTATTTATTGATCGTTATTATTATGATAATCCGTCGTGCACACACCACGGACAGCAGTAGACTCGCCCCCCCAAACCCTATTCTCTCCTGCAGCTCGGGCTCTTTTGTGCCCGGAACTCTCCTCGCGGGCTGGGTTGCAGCGGGGAGGACCCTGCTTGTGGGGCTCCCGGCCGGAAGCCTCCCGGGAGTGGGGACGTGTCTCTGCGCGGCCGGGCCGAGCGTGTGGCCGTCGCGAGCCGCTGCCATGGCCTCAGCCAGTCTGGTGGAGAAGCTGCAGCTCCGCGTGCGGGAGCTGGAGGAGGCGCTGGCCAGGGAGCGGGGCGGCGGGCAGGGCCAGCGGGCTCGCATCGAGAGCATGAGCCCGGAGGTGACCGACTCCAATCCCTACAGGTGACGGCGGGGGGCTGCCCTGGGGGGACGCCTGCCTTTTGGGAGGGGGGAGCTGCCCTATGGGGAGGGACAGCCATGCGGGCGTGGGAGGAAGGGACAGGGCTGCCACAGGGAGTGGGGGGAAGGGGCCCTGCCATTTGGGCACAAGCCTGGCACGTAGGGGTTTGGGGTAGCAGGGAGGGGTGCTGCCATATGGGGGTTGTTATGAAAGAGATGGAAGAGAGCAGGAGTCAGCACCTGTTTTATTGAGACTAGAGAGAGCTGCCATATGGGGGCTGTTGTACAGGGGATTTGTGGGGAGAGGGAGGCTCCCTATACTGTGTCGGGAGGGGAAGGTCTGACTCCGACCCCTGTTTAGGAGATGCTATTTGTTAAGCAAATTAAGACATCTGCCCCAGTTTCATTCACTGGGAAGTGGTGTGATGTGCCACCCCACTCCATCCGCCCCCCCCCCCAAAACCCTACCTGTCTCTTGGTGATGAATTATAACACTATTTTGTATTTTCTGTCTTTAAGAGTGGAGTATTTTACCATGAGTTACTCATAAGGAAATAGTATACAATATTTGGGAAGAAATGGGAGTTGGGACCCCTGTTTCCCCCCCTCCCTCCACTAATTTACTTTTGTACATTGGGTCATTTAGAGGCTGATTATCATAGGTGCTGAGGATTTGCAGTGCCTAACTTGTGGATTTCAGCACTTCTGAGAATCAGTCCCATAACCTTTCTGTGCCTCAGTTTACCCTGGGATTAAATAATAATATATAGGTTTAAAATAGTCCTTTAGGAACACTTCAAATTGTAATACTTTGCACTTATACAGCAATAAAATAATAATATAAAATAGAGTAGATACAGTACTTTATGTAAAGCACTCTGTTATCCTCTATAAAAAGTGCATATTAGTGCAAAGTATGACTATTTAAAATGTTTCAGTAGCAGGATTGTGTTTAATCCTCTCCCTTCTAGTTGTCCTCACAACCTAAAAATAGCTCAGTACCTCCAAATTTCTCTCATAGTCCAGTATTGGAGTTAAAAGGTTGTTCTCCCTGAAAGGTTTTGTTTTGTTTTGTTTTTAAGGTAGTTATCAGATGTCATCAGGGCATTAGCCTGGCATTGGGAAAGCAGTTATTGCAGTCACATTAGTCCTCAAAATAATTGAAAGTGTGTGCACACTCAAGTATCCTCTCCCTTTCTCCCTCCTGATCTGGCAAACAATAATACCGTGAATAGTCTCATTCGTTTCAGTGGGACTATTCACACTAATAAAGTAAAGCATGTAAGTGCTTGCAGCATTGGGGCCTTAGGGTTCTATGCATAGAGATGGGGTTCCATTCTCACTTAATACATGTCCACTTAGCAGTTTTAAGTGCAATGAGCACAGTGGTCTTCGGTTTATTCGTTAGAAACCCAGTATGCAGAAGAGTTAAAGACATGTTCTGCTGAAGCTAGCAGGAAATGTTTGTTGTTTTTTTCCAAGCTGCTGTTTACAGAATGTGATGTTGATAGTAGTAGGTTGGTTGCATGATATAGTGACATAGGGGCTTTCATTCTGAAGTGTGCCTAATACTTCAACTTTCTGAAATGCATAAACCTTAGAAATAGAATTGGAAAACAAATGAAATAAAAGGAAAAGAATATAAATTAAGGGTCTCAGATTGTTCTTGTGGGAAACTTAATTATTGTAATCTGCTTTAACGACTACTTAATATTAGATTTCAGGGAAGAGATTATAGTATCTGGTGAGAAATACGACATTTTATATTAGTGTTGATTTCAAAGCCATTAACTGATTTTCTTTGCTTTTGAATTTAACAACATTATTATGTTTATTTTCAAATAATTTACCATTTTACTTTAGTCTTAGTCTTCCAATCTCTAGTACATCTTTAATTGTTTGCTTAAACTTTACTTTTTTAAAAAAGTGTTATCTTGGAGTACTATCATAAATCTAAATATATTCATATTCTGAATCTTTTTCTTTTAGATACCTTAGTGAAGTAATGTAAATCTAAATATTTCAGAAATAACATTATAGATGCTAATCCCTCCTCTTATGGGTCCCTTCTCTGTAGTCAAGAATTCCACAGCATTTACTGTGTAACTGTTAATTCTATTTTGAGCTCCTCTGGGGCTTGTTCTTTGTCATTCTACTCTTACAACTATTTGAGCAACAATAAAAAGTTGAATCTCGGTGATTTTGAGAGAGCTTTCCTTGACTATGTTGGATGGTTTATTTATTTATTTGTTTTGTTTTTCCTAGCCGCCTGATGGCATTAAAACGAATGGGAATTGTGAAAGATTATGAGGTATGATTATATTTGTTTTAGAAAACTGTTTTTACTTCCTCTCATGCAGGCTACTTTGTAACGTACTAATCTGTATTTATTTTTCTTGACAGAAAATCCGTACCTTTACGATAGCAGTAGTAGGTGTTGGTGGAGTTGGCAGTGTAACTGCTGAAATGTTGACAAGATGTGGCATTGGTAAGGTAATATACATTTTCTTCATGTACCAGTAAACAGATGAACTAGTCCTATATATATAATAGGTACTGGCAAGATGGATTTCTTGTTTGAGTCTGCACCAATGTTAGTCAGCTGAAGCAAACAAAAGAGTAATACTGACAAAAACATTGAAAGTGATGAGTCTTCTGAGGTAACTTGTTCTCTGTTCAAGTAGACTTATCTAGGGCCTAGTCCTGTATGTTGCAAATCACCCTCAGCTGGGTGCTCCACACTCTGTCAGATCAGGTTCCTTCTGTATTGCTTTTAGTTCAGCCATAGAAGGCAGTGGAAGGGGGAAAAGCTGTTAATAAAGATGGGGGGGTGCATAATGCAGAGAAGGAAGATTGAGCACTTCTGTTTCTCATAAAAACAAGAACAAGGGGACATTAAGTTAAATTGAGAGGCAATGAATTTAAAACAAATAAGTGAACACAATTTTTCACACAATGCACAGTTAATACATAGAACTCATTGTCACAAGATATAGCGGCCAAGAGCTTAGCAGCAGGAAAAATTAGATTTATATTGGTAACGAGAACATCTAGGGTTAATATAGTACAGGTTTTTTTAAGTGTAGGAAGGGATCTAAACATTCACGCTTCAGGGCAAAAACTAATTTCTATCTCTTCAGGGTTAGGAAGAAACATGAGGCGGTTATATCATAACTCATCCTAATAAGCAGGTTATGTCGTTTACATAAAATAGCTAGAGACATAAAGGGTAACAAGAAAACATTTTACAAATACATTAGAAGGAAGAGCAAGGACAAGGTAGGCCCGTTACTCAACGAGGGGGAAAAAACAATAACAGAAAATGTGCAAATGGCCAAAATGCTAAATGACTTTTTTGTTTCGGTGTTCACCAAAAAGATTAGTTGCGATTGGACGTCTAATGTAGTAAATGCCAGTGAAAATAAGGTAGGATCAGAGACTAAAATGGGGAAAGAACAAGTTAAAAATTACTTAATCGAGTTAGATGTCTTCAAATCACCTGTGCCTGATAAAATACATCCTAGAATACTCAAGGAGTTGATTGAGGAGATATCTGAACCCTTAGTTATGATCTTCGAAAAGCCATGGAAGACAGGAGAGATTCCAGAGGACTGGAAAAGGGCAAATAGAGTGCCAATCTATAAAATGGGGAAATAAGGACAACCTAGGGAATTACAGGCCAGTCAGCTTAACTTCAGTACCCAGAAAGATAATGGAGCAAATAATTAAGTAATCAATTTGCAAACACCTAGACGATAATGAGGTGATAAGTAACAGGCAACATGGATTTATCAAGAACAAATCATGTCAAACCAATCTAATAGCTTTCTTTGACAGGCTAACAAGCCTTGTGGATGGGGGGAAGTGGTAGATGGGGTATATCTTGACATTAGTAAGGCCTTTAATACTGTATCACGTTACCTTTTCATAAACAAACTAGGGAAATACAACCTAGATGGAGCTACTGTAAGATGGGTGCATAACTGGTTGGAAAGCCGTTCCCAGAGAGGAGTAGTTCACAGTCAAGCTGGAAGGGCATATTGAGTGGGGTCCTGCAGGGATCGCTTCTGGGTCTGGTTCTGTTCAGTATCTTCATCAGTGATTTAGATACAGTAATGGCCGAGAGAGTGCACTTATAAAGTTTGTGCACGATACCAAGCTGGGAGGGGTTGCAAGTGCTTTGGAGGATAGGATTAAACATCAAAATGATCAGGACAAACTGGAAAAATGGTCTGAAGTAAATAGGGTGAAATTCAGTAAGGACACATGCAAAGTACTCCACTTAGGAAGGAACAATCAGTTGCACACATACAAAATGGGAAATGACTGCTTAGCAGTCACAAGCTAAATATGAGTCAACAGTGTAACACTGTTGACAAAAAAAAAAAAAAGTAAATATAATTCTGGGATGTATTAGGAGTCTTGTAAGCTACATGAGAAGTAATTCTTCTGCTCTACTCTGCACGATTAGGCCTTAACTGGAGTATTTTGCCCAATTCTTGGTGCCACATTTCAGGGAAGATGTGGACAAATTGGAGAAAGTCCAGAGAAGAGCAACAAAAATGATTAAAAGTCTAGAAAACATGACCTGTGAGGGAAGATGGAAAAACATTGGGTTTGTTGAGTTTGGAGAAGAGAAGACTGAAAGGGGTCATGATAACAGTTTTCAAGTACATAAAAGGTTCTTACAATGAGGAGGGAGAAAAATTGCTCTCCTTAGCCTCTGAGGATAGGACAAGAAGCAATGGACTTAAATTGCAACAAGGACGGTTAGGTTGGACATTAGGAAAAACTTCCTAACTGTCAGGGTAGTTAAACACTGGAATAAATTGCCTAGGGAGGTTGTGGAATCTATCATTGGAGATTTTTAAGAGCAGGTTAGACAAACACCTGCTAGGGATGGTCTAGATCAGTGATTCTCAACCAGGAGTCTGGGGGGCTATGAGCAGGTTTCAGGGGGTCTGCCAAGCAGGACCAGTGTTAGACTCACTAGGGCCCAGGGCAGAAAGTCTAAGCCCTGCCACACAGGGGTGAAGCTTGGAGCCCTGAACCCTGCCACCTGGGGGTGAAGCAGAAGCATGAGCAATTCAGCTTTGTGGGGTGCCCTGTGACGTGGGGCCCCCGGCAACTGCCCTACTTGCTACTCCTTAACGCCGGCCCTGGCTTTTATATGCAGAAAAACAGTTATTGTGGCACAGGTGGGCTGTGGAGTTTTTATAGCATGTTGGGGGGGGCTCAGAAAGAAAAAGGATAAGAACTCCTCGTCTAAGTAATACTTAGTCCTGCCATGAGTGCAGGGGACTGGACTAAATGACCTCTCGAGGTCCCTTTCAGTCCTATGATTCTGTGATTTCTTCTGAAGCAGCTGGTAATGGACTCTGTCTAAGACAGGATACTTGACTCTTTGGTCTACTGACCTGATAAAAGCTGACATATCAGATGTTCTTCTGTATTAGCTAGTCATTGAAAATGAATAATTGTTATCTACACGCTAGATTTGCAACTCAAAAATACAATCAGAATAATCACACATAGGAATGTAAAAGAACAGTCACTAAAGTTAGTGTCTATTGATGTGGATAATTTGCTGAATGTTTGGCTTGTTTTAGATAAATGTGTTCTGTTAACCATCGTTCTGGTGACTTGATCTGAACAGTTTGGTGTTCTCAGGTCTTAGTGACCAGTAGTTTAGGGTCCAGTTCTGCAGTCAATACACCTCAATAATGGTTTGCACATGAGTAGACTTGGTAAAATGGATGGAACTACTCACATGTATTTCTAGGATCAGGGCCTGTCACAGTTTGCTGTTTATAATACCAACATGGTGTTCATCAGCAGAGACCCATTGAAAATTCATATATATTATTATAATCTTCATTGTAGCTGCTACTGTTTGATTATGACAAGGTGGAGTTGGCGAACATGAACAGGCTCTTCTTCCAACCTCATCAAGCTGGACTAAGTAAAGTGCAGGCAGCGGAGCATACTTTGAGGTATATAGTGGGTATCAAATATGTTTAACATGGGCTGCTAATTCAAACTCAGATATTTCACTCTACAAAAAAACCCACAACAAAGTTGCATGTTCATGTGGAGTCCAAGGACTGAGCTGCACTAGAATTTTTGCTGGTATAATGTAGGGTAGATGTAGGATTTTTTTGTTTTGTTTTTTGGTTAATGACATTTTTACACTGGAAAAGCCTTAGTGCAGATGCAGTTAGACCAGAAAAAAGTGATTTTTGCCAGTAAAGCTTTTCATTCAGAGAACTGGCATAGGCAAGTTTTTGCCAGTAGTGGCTGCGTCTATGCTAGAAGGGTTTGCCAGAATAGCTATACTAGCTAACCTTTTCTAAGCTAAAGTGTGTTTCTAAAAATTCCAGCAGTGCTTGTGACTCGGATGAGGGAGGGAGTTCTCTGAGGTTGCTACTGCACTCATTATCACTGTTGACTGATTTTATTTTCTTTACAAGGAATATTAATCCTGATGTTCAGTTTGAAGTACATAACTACAATATCACAACAGTGGATAACTTCCAACATTTCATGGACAGAATAAGGTAAAATATTTTGAGAAAAGCACACAACTTCTTTTGATTTTTGTTGGTAAAGTCTAAAATACTCTATTGACTTCATAATTTTTTTAAATGTTAGGCCTCCAATTGGAAAACAATCACATTTTATGTAAAATATATGTATATAAAGACACTTTTTTGTTTCCTAGCCCTGTTATCCAAGTAGATCTTGGAAAATAGCATTTACTTTTGTCTCACTTTAAATTAAATTTGTTCCTTGTTTATATTAGTGTATTTTTAGCTTTCCAGCCAAATTGAAGATTCCATATGTTGTCATACTTCTTTAAAAAGACATCAAATTGCACATCCCTTCTTTTGAGTAGCTTGACTCTCATTTCCATTGAAAATAACACAGTGTAATTAATATCTCACAAATTAGTTCTGAAATGACTGCAGATATGTTATGCAAAGAGAAACCTTTAGGGGAAATAAAAATTTATACTACACTTCTTAAAATTTGTAAGAGGTGAAAATTATACCCAGTGATATTTCCTTTAGTCTGAAATATCCTCTTATCTGAATTTCTTATGATTCCTCAGATGACCCCATTTTTAAGGACTGCTTTTGTACTTAATTCTATGGATGTCCCTGCACATTTTGGATAAACAGAGTTTTATTGAATTGTTTGAGACTGAGAGTGTTAAATAGGATCCATACTATTTTGTTAGCTAGGAATATATTTCCCATCAATTTATGTAATGAAAAGAAAGAAATGTCTTGACTACAATTTTAATGTGTTTTGCAAACCATCCTCATGTAAACTGTGGTATTTACTTTAGTTATGGTGGGTTAGAAGAAGGGAAACCTGTTGATCTTGTACTGAGCTGCGTGGACAACTTTGAAGCTCGTATGGCAATTAACACTGTAAGTACAGCATCTGAGGTCTGCGCATACTCTTGTGGGTTTGCTAATACTGTTGATATATGTGAAAATAAGGAAATGTGGGGAGGAAATGAACTTTTTATTCAGTTCTTGGAGCATAAAGAGTAGATGTAAAACAGATTACATGTGATAGTAAGTAATGGTTAGTAAAGGAAAAGTGTATTTTTTTTTATTAAATTTTATTTGTATTGAGTCATCTTGTAAACCCTGTTTAAATTCACTAATGACTTTCTTTGTATAACTATCCTATGGAAAATTTGATAAGAATCGTTATATTTTGATGGACATTATTAAGGCAGTATGCAGTTTTTACTGTGCGGTTTTCCTTCACAGTTGTAACAAATGCAGTGTATTTTCCAAAACACACATTTTTGTTGCCACCCACCTGTTAGCTTGAGCAGCATGTGTATATATGACACACATAATTGTATAAATATAATAAATCCATGCTTGTGTGTGCATGTGTGTAAAATAAATATAATTAAAGGGAGAAAACAGTAAAGAAATTGAATAGAAAATCCTAATAAACCATATTAGACTCCTGGGCCCTGATCTGGCAACTGTGAATTGGAGCCCTGTACATGTGCAGAGCCCCATTGATTTCTATGGCGCTCCAGACAAGTGCAGAGATCTGCCCTCCTGAATCCGATACCCATATTTGGCCTTTGATTTTTATTATTGTCAGTTACTAAAAAAAGGCACAGAAATAGTTTATAGTAATACCTCTTTTAATCTGACAATTCTTTTGTCTTCTGGCTTTAAGGGGTAAAAGTCACAGATTCATCAGTGTAATGCATGATTTCTAATAACCTTTTGCAACAAACTTCTACAGTGTTTATTTATTGTAACTCTTGGGTATGTTTGTGCTTTCAAGGCCTGCAATGAGCTTGGACAAACATGGATGGAATCTGGAGTGAGTGAAAATGCCGTCTCAGGACATATACAACTTATCATACCTGGTGAATCTGCTTGTTTTGCGGTATGCAATCCTTGGCTAAGGGGTCCTTTTCTGAAATCTGGGATTCACTGTATTTCTAGTTTGTGCTTTTTAAAACAGGATGTGTGGTGTGAAACTGGTATTTCAAGGCTTATATAGCCACAGCTTGTTTTAGTTCAGAGTAATTCTGGTTATTGCCTTCGTGTGGTCTGAGGTTTTTATTCATTTTTTTAATGAGATTTCTTTTTTTCTCCTCCCAGTGTGCTCCCCCACTTGTAGTTGCTGCCAATATTGATGAAAAAACATTAAAGCGAGAGGGAGTTTGTGCAGCCAGCCTTCCTACCACTATGGGAGTAGTTGCAGGGATTCTTGTACAAAATGTTCTGAAGTAAGTTATTTGAATGAACTTCTGGGACTAAACTTACAATATCTTGTTATAAAGAATACAACAGGCTTCTTTCTGATCATTAGAGCTTCACGTCTTCAGGACTTTATAAGCTTATGAGATTGGTGATCTTTCTTTCCCAGTGACAGATCTGCCTCTCTCTCATACACACTCATGTACAAAGGCATTTGCTTAAAGGAATTGATACCAAGATATGTGATAGGAGGGTACATCTACACTACAAAATAAAACCCTATGGCAGCAAGTCTTAGAGCCTGGGTCAACTGACTCGCGAGCTGTGGGGCTAAAAATAGCAATGTAGATGTTCCGCTTGGGCTGGAATCCATGCTCTGAAACCTGGTGGTGGGGGGAGGGGCTCAGAGCCCAGGCTCCAGCCTAAGCAGAAAAGTCTACACTGCTATTTTTTAGCTCTTTAGTGTGAGCCTGAGTTAGTTGACTCAGGCTCTGAGACTTGCTGCCACAGGTTTGTTTTCCCCCCCAGTGTAGACGTATCCTGAGTCACTGAACTTTTTGTTTTGGAGCTACCATTTTCTACAGATTGTTTCAAGTGCTCTTTCGTAATTCAAGATGAATTAAAAAAAAAAAGTATCACGAAGTCTTGAAGAACGTCAAAGTCGCAGAATAATTTCTTTGTTTCCTTTGCACAAAGCCTGGGAAGAGAGTTAGTCCTGCACAGTTTCTGTTCAGTGATGCAAAACAGCTATAAATATTTTTACTGTATAGTAAAATTTTCTACAAGTAATATCACAAACTCCAGCTGTTCAAAGAACTATGCCCATGAGAAAATTTGAACAATTCTGTGTGCATAAATTTGTTTCCCTTTCCTTATTTTTAAGTCTGGAAAATAGGATTTTTGTCTCTTGAGTTCGTGTGCTAAAATCCTATTTTAGACAAACTCATTCTGCGGATAATTGTACAGATGCTGTTAGCTGCAGATGACGAATTAAAAACAATCCAGATCTTGTGAAGTAAAACAGAGGGTTGTTTTGCCTTCAGCTACAGAGGTGTTCCATTGACTTTAGTATATGTTGTGTGAATTTACATAGAGGCAGAATTTGGTTCTCTAGTAATAAATATAAGAAATAAACTATTTTTAGTGTGGGATTTCCAAGAGGTCAGCCTGGCCTAATTTTGCCCCCACTGAAGATTTTTCTTCAGTGGGAGGAGAGTTAAGCCAATGTTAATTGCTTTTGAAAATTCCACCCTGACTGAATGGGATTGGACGCAAGTAGGGTGGAGGGGAAGGTTGCACCATTGGCCTGGAATGGCAAACCGCGGCCAGTGGGAGCTGCAATCAGCCGAACCTGCTGACGCTGCAGGTAAACAAACCGGCCCGCCAGCAGTTTTCCCTGACGGGCCGTGTGCCAAAGGTTGCCGATCCCTGTTCTAAACTTACCATTTCCTGGGTTTGCAATCAAGTATCAAATTTCATCCGTGAGCCATCTCTCACATTTATACCTATACAAACATAGGGCCAAATTCTCGTGTGGTATAATTCAGGATAGCACCATTATCTGCTAAAGCTATGCTGATTTACACCAAGTGAGGATCTACTACATAATTTCTGAAGTGGGTATAGGTAATCTAAAACCAAATGCGAGTAATTTAGGGTAACAATACAGTATCACGACTGAGGGGTACAAAATATAACATCTGGAAAAAGCATTTAGGCAACTCACCCTGAATCTGCGAACAAGAAAATATTTTCATTTCACTGCAGTTCTCATTCTGTTTTTCCAGGTTTTTATTAAATTTTGGTACTGTGAGTTACTATCTTGGTTACAATGCAATGCAGGATTTCTTTCCAACTATGGCCATGAAACCAAACCCACACTGCAGTGACAAAAATTGCAGGAAACAGCAGGAAGAATACAAGGTAAAAATCCATCTGTTAATGCATGCTGAAGGTCTGTGGTAAATAAAGCAGATCATTCTGAATTGAAGCAGTGTTGACAGGCTGTTTCCACAAACTTTAAAGTTAAATTATTTGAAATATTTTCATAAGTATTTGTAGGTCATCTTAAAGTAAAAGGTAAGCAGAGTAACTTATGAAACTTATCGCTTTGCAAAAAAAAAAAAAAACCCTAATAAAATATTTGTCACTTAGGCCCCAATCCTGCAACCTCTTACATATGTGCTTAACAGTGTGTAAAGATGACATTTAATGGATTTCTTTAAGAAATTATGCTTTGCTTTCTGATGAATAAAGAAGATTTGAACTGTTTTTTATTATTATTTTTTATATTATGTCAAGAGTGTCACCTTTGCTCTTCCCTGCTTTTGCTCTAAGATTTGTGGAAGGTTTAACGATGTATATTGTGGGCTCTCTTAATTAAAGAGTGTGAGTGTTGAATATTCAAAATCTTATTTTCCCCAAAATTTTCATTAGTCATTGATGTTGAATTGGGGGAAGAAATCCTTTCAGGCCTTCTTTATACATAGTAAAGGAGCATGCCCTTTTTTAATCCTTTGCAGGTCACCCTTAAATGTTTCCTAAAAAGCCATAAACAAACTCTCATAAATATTTAGACTGTCTTAACTCTCCTCAATATTGCAACAAAAATAATCACAAATTCATGTTTGTGTTTTGTTTTATGTTGTCTCTTCAGGAAAAAAAGGCTGCACAACCAAAACAAGTAGTAGTTGAACATGAAGAAGAAATAGTTCATGAAGATAATGACTGGGGTAAGCAATCACCTCAATCTTGAATGCACACCGCCAACAAATTAGGGAATTTAACTAATCTTTATTAAACACTATCGGTTACTCAAATTTTTTCAATTCTAATAAATCTGACAAATCTAAAACAATTTCATGTTTTGGTTCTCATACATTGAACAGGTTAAAATTTAATCTCAACACTACAGAAGTATGTTTTAAATAAAATATTTTCATTTTATTTCTTTAATCTTGTGAAAATACCTAGTCATTAGATTTTATAGGAACTTTTATACAAAACTCAAGTTTGGGTCTAAGTTTATCCGCATGTCCGTTTAAATATCTTGTCAACGAATATTCATTATAATCAGGTTTCTGTAACATAAGGGGTTAAAATATATATATAAATTCCCTATAAGGGCATTAACAACTGAGAAAATTGCTGGACTGAAACTGTCAGCACACTTGTCAAAAAAATTAAATTCATATACTCTTGAAATGGTTACTCTCTGAATATTGTATTTTTAATAAAATGAAAATACAAGCTTACTATCGGGGGAAAATGAATGAATGACTTAGACTATGAAAGAGTACCCAGGGGGAGTTGAAAGGCCCATCCCTGGAGCTATTTAAAATATGTTGTAGGGAATCTGACTTAAAAGGTCTCTTACTGGATGTACTGTTAAAGTACTCTTTTTATTTTAATAAGCTCTGGTTGCTGCAGTTTTCATCTAATGGTAATAACTTTGATCCTCTGATTAGTTTTTTATTTAAATAATTAGTTGACATTTTGACACTTAGGTATTGAGCTGGTATCAGAGGTTTCAGAAGAGGAACTGAAGGCTGCTTCGGGTCCACTTCCTGATCTTCCAAAGGGAATTACGGTAGCATACACCATACCAAACAAGGTAATGTTAATTCACCCTTTTTTATAGATTTATTTAATGACAGTATTAGAAGGTTCTATATTATGTGAAACTAGTCATAGAGGAGAACACTGTAAAGCAGTTGTCTGCTGTATCCTTTGGAATGTACTAAAAAGCATTCAGTTATTACATAAACTGAGGAAAATACATGATAGTTATCAACTTATTACCATTTGTCCATGGTAAAACCCCATCTGTAACAATTCTAGTAAAATAATTGCACGCCTGTATATTCAATCTGAGTATATCTTACAATCAAATTATTATTGCTTGAGTCTTTACAATATATTTTAAACAATTCATTATCTTGAAGCTAGTTCTGAGGACAACAGGAATTAATGAATTTGTTTCTCTATTTGTGTTGAGGTTTAAGCACACTGAGGAATTCCCCAGTTGTTTAGACAGTCAAAACCATTTTTACAAATTACTTTTATCCTTTAAAAGAAAGATGCAGTCAAATTACCATAAAACTGAAGCTCAGTCTCTGGGAATTTTAACTTCCATACTTATGCATCAAAAAATCATTTTCTTAAATCCTAATCAGAATGGAGTTTACCAATGGATTTTTGGTCAGACATATAAAAATGGCTATGGAATATCTTATGTTGTAATGTTTGGGCCTCATCTTGCAAGAACTCTGTATTCTGAACTCCTTCGGTCCGTTATATCCTGTTTTATTCAGAGCAAAGGAACTAAATATTTCCCCCTCCCCTTTTGCCAATAGGAAGAGAATGTTGTAGCTGGGGAAACAACAGTGGCAGAGTCTGAGGAAAGCCTAGAAGAACTCATGGCCAAGATGAAGAACATGTAGGCAAATGGAATATTGAATTTAACATTTGGGATCTAGCACTAGAGCTGAATCAAGAAATATCACAAGAAATAAGGTCCTGTAAGAAATTCCAGTCTTAAAACTTGAACTTTTGGTAAAACAGAACTATAAAAGCTTGGAGATGGCATCTCATAACTGTATTCTGCTGTCTATCTATATACTGCTTTAAAATACAAAGTTGTACTACTGTAAGTTTTCATTTCTCATCATGGTAGGGTCCAAATCTCTAGGGAAAAATTAAAGATAATAGACAAACTGACACAAAAAAGGTAAGCATAGCACATGATGTGGAATGATATTCCACATGTTGGCAAAATGGGGGAAATGAAAGGTGGAGTAACCTTGTCTGGATAGAATGGTTCAGGGGATTGATAATGGAGTCTTTAACATGTACGTTACCGCTTCAAGTGCAAACCAGATTTGTGGTAGTTGTAAGCATCCAGCTGGCTACTATTCAATGGGCTATGTTGTCTAAGTTGGTAGTGTGGCTGTACCTGTTTTGTAGGTAAATGGAAGGCTTCAATCTTTTCATAGGCCATAAATTTCACTAGAAAAATTTTAAAGGGTTGAGTGATTTGTCAGTTTGTGTCACATCCCTATTCTTTCATAAAGAAGTATTTGTGTATACATTGCTTTGTGTTTGATAGTGGTGTGAGTGTGCAGTTGTAAGGCACAAGTGTTTTGGTATGAATTCTTTGTTACTGAGTCAATGACTGAGTTGACCAAAATAGCTCCTAGCATGTCATCACTGCAGCTGACCGCCATGTGTTTACATATTAAAAATGTTTGACTTATCACTGAAAAAAATTAACTGTACAGGAAACTTCAAACACACCTAAAAACCATTCTGTGTTTACTTTTGAAAGCGAGTTATATTTCTAAAATCCATTTAGAATTATTTGGCTAGCATTTAGCTCAGGGGTTCTCAAACTGGGGGTTGGGGCTCACGAGATTATTACATGGGGGCTGTCGGCCTCCACCCCAAACCCTGCTTTGCCTCCAGCATTTATAATGGTGTTAAATATATTTAAAAAGTGTTTTTAATTTATAAAGGGGGGTCGCACTCAGAGGCTTGCTATGTGAAAGGGGTCACCAGTACAAAAGTTTGAGAACCACTGATTTAGTTACTACTTTACATGGCTGACAGCTTTATAAAAAGGCAACTATTTACAGTTTTATCCTATGTACAGTTTTACAAAAATTGAAATTAATACATATATAAAATTATTGGAGAGATGTTGTTAGGGAATACAAAATAGTTCTTGACTTCTGACTATAGTTAGCAAAGCAACTTTTACACTTGCCCATTCCATATTGTAAAGTGAGGTAGTGGTGAGACCTAACTTTGCAGAAGATTGTGTACCAGTGTTTAAAACGAATTTAAAAAAAACCAACAAAAACAAGTCCTGTGGCTGATAACGTTTTTCACCTTTGCAATTAAAGCATATTGCAATTTAGAAGTCTAAAGAGAACCATGGTATTTCTCTGAGTGAGAAATCTAGTGGAAATGTCTGATTTTTTTTTTTTTTTTGCAACTCAGTGAACAAATACACTTCAATGCTGTATATTTTTGCTAACTTTGTTCATTTATGTTGTAAGCTGCAATATACTATCAACTTAAATTTTTAACAGTGAATCTTAATAATGAGACCTTGCTATGGATCTGTTCTATTAAATCTCTGCTGATACACTGGAAGACACTATTAGTTTTGATGTGGAGTTCTACTGTGATCATTAAGTTACATAGAATTTGGCTTATACCAAATATACAAATGCTTCAATTTCATGTACAAACAGGACTTGGTGGGATATGTTTTCTACAGAAGGAGTATCAAGAGAGCTATTATACTTGTTTTGGACACCAATACAAAGAAGTCAAACATCCATCTGTTTGCAATTTAGAAGATTACAATTTTTGTCTAAATAAAAACAACTTTTTCTATGCTGCATGAACCTCATATCGTTTGTATAGTCTGTTAGAAGTTTCTTCTTCAACTAAGTTTTAGTGCTCAATGTCAGTTTTGATATTGTACATTTTTCATTGCAGCACTATAAAACTAATCATTCCCAAGTTACATTCTTATTTAAAATTTCTTTTTCTATTCAGAAAAAGTGCTGAATGGGGGTGTGTGTGCAGAATTGACTTAATTGCTTACCATAAAAGGGGGGGGGGGGGAGGAAAAGATAAATAGTATCCCTTTGAGATAAACAGCCTCAGCACTAGCTGAATAAATGGATTAGTTCATGAATGAAGTTTCCTCATAGATCTGACACTGAACTCTAAAGTATGAAAAGGAGCACGTCATTTTTAAATTAGTGAATTTATTGTTTGTAAACAAACAGACTTAATTGATCATTGTAACTACCTGGGAGAAATACTCCATTGTAAGTTTAATAAAAATCAGTTTACTGCTATTCACTGATGCTATTCTGTTCTTTCTCCTGGTTAATACAAGTATGCTTGTATACTGGAGTTATTGAGCAGTTTTTCTCTACTAAAACTGAGAGGTGTGCGCCAGTCCCCAATTAATTCATAATATTTTTCTCTCGGGTTACTCATTGAAAAAGTATATTCCTACTAAAAATAAGTGGATATAACCGACACCAATTAAAAAGCTTTAGCTAGAGAGGACAAAAATATTAGTCAGAGCTTGTCTACATCATCAGTTCATGCATGACAAGCTGGGGTGTAAATCTACAGTGCATTAGCATGCTGCACACTCGCAGGCCATGGGGACCTTCCTAACATGCACTAAAAGTTCTATAGTGCACTTCAATCTGTTTCAAAACAGATTGAAATCAAAGCACACTACAGAAATTTGTGTGTATCAGGGTCCCAATGGCCAGTTATTGTGAAGGCTGGTAGGCTGTAGATTTACACCCAGGTTTGCCATGTACAAACTGACCACATAGACAAGCCCTCTGTCAACAACCATGATCTAAAAACTCAAAAGCGTGTCTTACTAAGAACCCAGTTTCCTTTGTACAAATTTCTTTAAAGCTAAAACATGGGCAGGTGAAGTTTGGGGGTACTTTCCTTCTTTGGGTGGAAACACAATATATGGTTCTTAAAATTACTGTGTCCCTGAATAACAAACTGCTCCTGAAAAGACGGAAAGGTACAATAACAAAATTACACAAACACCGTAACAGTGTGGACACTGAAGGAACTGACGTGGAATAACGACCCGTAGCTGTTTTACGGATTATACCCTGTAGCTCACAGAGGTATAGAGAAAAACAAAACCAATGTTTTCTGGCATTATAGCTACAGTCTGAAAAAGTAACTAATAGAACACACGCAGCAGTCTTTCACTAAATGCCTGTGTGTAACACAGAAGTAACTCTGTACCACATGGTCCACAAAAAAGTTAGCATGAACGGAAATATCTTAAACTAAAATGTAAAATTTTGTTCATATTTTCATTCATCAAACATTTTGTCTCCTAAAATCATTTTTTAGTCTCTGAAGCATGCTCAGATTTTTTTTAAGTACTTAACCATCAAGCATTCTTCACTAGCATTTGTTTTTGTGCCAGTTTGCATCACCTTTGTCCATGGTCTAGAAAAACATTTGGAGATAATGTACTTCTTAAACTGAAAGTGTCTCCACTTGATGAGGGTCGGGAAGCTGCTTTTCCTCCTATCAATAAAGTCTCTGCTTCTTTGATTTCCATGGCTCTCTTGTACAGCTCGGCAGCCTTCTCGAAATCTCCTCCTTCATAGCTTTGGGAGAGAAACCAAAATTTTACCAAACCCGCCCCACCAATTCACTCCTGTACCGAAGTCTGCAAAAACAAAATACAATTAAACAGCAAAAAACTTTGTTAATGCTGAGTTAAGATTGCCTGGTGTTAGCTTGTGCCCTTCCAGGACATTGTGTTCAGCAAAAATTTCTGAAAACGAGGAAATACAGAGGTAAGGTAAAGGACCATACAATCGTAACTCTGCCCTGCTGGAGCTGGTACTAGCCACTAGGAATTATCAGCATGGACTCCAGCTGCATTCACTGTGTTAAGTGTAACTGTATTACATAGTGGAGGAATAAGTTGTGATTGTGATAAGACAAGACCTGGATCCAAGTCCCTCCATGTTTGTTATCAAAGGAAAGAGGTGCCATATGTACCTCAAGGTTCTAGTCTGAATCATTTCAGACTGTCACCCTACTATAATTAACACACTTACCAACACTGTCTACATTTTAGCCCCCAAACTGCCTAATAAAGCATTTGCTATTGATATAATTATTCTCATTTGTTAATCTTTTAATGGAAGCAGTTCCTATATTAGATGATGGGAGAAAATATCTGTCCTTACCTCAACACAGCTAAGTTTTTTAGAGTTTCTCCCACACGAGGATGCATATGACCAAAGCTGTCTTCATAAATCTTTAATGCACATTCATACAGAGGTAAGGCTTCAATGTGCTTTTTCTTTTTGGGTGGGAGAAGGAAAACAAGATGAAAACCAGTTGTTTAAATGGGTATTACACATACTATTTGGTTTCTACAAACTGTATAGGCACATCCTAGACTTAAGTTTCTTTGCTAAACCAAAACAGTGTTTTGTTTTTAAAAGAACTGCTGTTTACATAAGAGTGAGACACTTAAAGCAACCTAAAAGATTTGGACACCCATTTCCTATTAATTTTATGATAATTGGGGTCAGAGTTCCTTAGGTGGCTTCAAAAGTCTCATCCTAAATGAATAGGTGTTAAACTACCAAACACAATCCTGGGTTTTAGCAAATCAGCTGTAACCTCTTATTGAAAGCCAGGTTTACAGATCCCAAGCAACATAACAGAACAGTATATGATATGTTATGTAGAAGTGTTTACTGTTATTGATACTAGGGAAACAAATGGATGGTAGTATCTTGGTAAATGTTTCTTTCTCTCTGACCTATATTAGGTATTGAGTAGAAAGTCTACAATTGCAGTCTTATAAGCTTAAAAGCCTAGGCAAGACTACACTTGATCAATCTGCATGGAGTGCCAGAATTTCAGTAGGTAATGTTCCCTCAGTCAGTACTAAACCAGTGCTTTAGATGTAGTTTTAAACCAAAGGCCGTGATTTATATGATTTATAAAAATCTCATGGTCTTTTTTACAAGATTAAAGGGATTAACATAATCTTTCACCCCTGGCTAAATTCCAATCAATGCAATCAGATTGTAAAAATGTACATGAGATTGAATTCCCTGAGGGTGTCCTTTTGTATGCTGTTAAATTTCATATATAAAATTGCTGAAATGTATAAGACGAAAAACCTACCATCTGACAATAAAGAACAGCCAGGTTTACCAAGGCAGTAGCTACGCTAGGATGCTTTGGACCAAATGATTTTTGTCGAATTTCAACAGCCAACTCATACAGAGGCACTGCCTTGTCAAGCTTTCCCTAGAAAAAAAACCAATGTTAAAACCAGACATGTGGTTATAGCAGGCCTAGATGCATATATATATTTGTGAATAAAGAGCTTAGAAAAGTTGTAATTGCTTTCAGAACAAGAAAGGTCACTTAAACCTTGCAGGATTGGACCCTTATTGAATATCTACAATAAACCATTCCTGTTGATCATCATTAATGGTCCGAGTGCCTTCAACTCCCCTTTAAGTCCTTCCAGGTACTATCTCTAGCTCTGATTATTTCTCAAGCATGTTCCTTCCACTAGTATCTACAAGAGAGAGTGTTTAAAAGGTTTGTTTCATTCCTGTCCATCAAAAATTTTGCTCCATCCCCTGCAGCTGTATTCCCCACCCTTACTACACATGGCAGAGGCATGAGTTGATTTTCAACAAATAGTTCTAGTGGACCTTCGTTTTACAGCAGATGTGGGAAGGGAAACTTACCAGCAAATTTTGTTCCACTCCAGATTTGTATCTGCTCCCTTCCTTGTATCTGCTTCACTGGATGTACTGAGTTAGTGTATTTGTATTTTTTTTTTTTTTAAACTTTGAGGCATATATTTGGGATTCTATTTCTGGAATATGGATGTTTGACATTTAGCATGAAATGGAAATTCAGGAACATGTCTAAGATAGTTTTGGATGTGTAAAGTCTGCAGTTTTCTCTGTTTCTTCACACACACCAGCTATGATTTTATATCAAGAGGTAACTGTCTACAGTCAAGTATCTAATTATTCTTTATGTACCTCCAACTCGTCTCTTCCCTTCCACTACTTCATTTATGTTCATCCAAGCACAGCAGTCTTTTTTTTTCTGGCAGAGTCAACTGCAGCAGTCTGAAATGGGAAAAGCTCATGTGATCTCAACCCATTTCAGAATGCTACTGGAGGTGTTAGCAGTAAAAGCACTAGTGCAAAAGCACAGGCACAGTCTGGCCAAGAAATAAGTTTACAGGATTCTTCCAATTTAGAAGAATGGCAAAATGCAAGAGTACGTCTATACTTACCTCCAGGTCCGGCGGTAAGCAATTGATCTTCTGGGATCGATCCCGGAAGTGCTCGCCGTCGACGGCGGTACTCCAGCTCGGCGAGAGGAGTACGCGGCATCGACGGGGGAGCCTGCCTGCCGCGTCTGGACCCGCGGTAAGTTCGAACTAAGGTACTTCGAATTGAGCTACATCATTAACGTAGCTGAATTTGCGTACCTTAGTTCGAAGTGGGGGGTTAGTGTGGACCAGGTCCAGGAGTGAGAAAGAAACACTCATCTACCATCACTCTACTCTGAATTTGAACTTTTAGTGTAACAGTTGGAAACTTTAGGGTTCACGTTCTGCCTAGCCGCAAGGCTGAGGACAGATTCCAATATTCCTATAGACAGGGATTCCCCTTCATATAGAACCAATCAATTGACAGTTAATATTTATAAAGTATTTTGAAAATATGAATTACTATTATCATCACATAGAGTATTCTACAACAGAGTGATTGCTTATTTTTCACTGAACTGAAATGGAAGTAGAAATGGCTCAAGATACCCACACAGAGAGCTGCTGCCAGTTCTATTATAAATACTTCGATGGCTGACAGGGTTCATATGTAAAAATTAGGAGAAATTATTCTCAAGTGCCAAAAATATGGTGTCTGCATCTGGGTTGACTGGAACAAATGCAGAGGAACCCAAAATAGGAAAGTGGAGAAGAGATTCCCTGGCAACAGCCATAATGCTGTCTTCTAACTGAATTGTTTCCTTTATAGTAAATATACTGGCTGAATAAATTTGCCTGAATGAAGTTAAAGGAAAAGCTTGTAGGTGCCCAATACACTGAAGACATTATTAAAGAACAGCTTTTCTTTAGGAAAATGTCCCACAGAGCTCCTAGGGGGCACAAAACCAGAGACAACTTTAATTTATATACTTAATTTTTTTGTGTGCATTTCTGGAGGATGCTGATATCCAAACTCTTTTTGATACTCTGCCTCTTTTGGGATGGAAAGAGCAAGACATTATTATTTTTAAATGATGTATGAAACACACAGTCACACTTACCAGCTTTTTGTAGAGTACTGCAAGGTGTTTCACAGTGTAAGCCAGTGAAGGATGATCAGGGGCTAGTGCTCTCCTCCTAATTTCTAACGCTCTTTCATACAGTTCCTCAGCCTTATCGTAGTGTTTCTTTTCATTGTACAAAGCTGCCAGATTGTTCAAAGACTGTGCACAGTCTGAGTGGTCTGGTCCCAGGACCCTCTCCCTCATTTCTAGGGAGCGCTTCAGAAAAAGTTCAGCTGTCCTACAAACAAATTCACACAGCAATACTCCAAAGATTAAATGTGTGCACTCCATGAAAGCTACTTCTGTACCTGCAGAAGTGCCATTGTATTCTAATAGACATTTCAGCTGCCTCTAGTGAAACAAATACAGCAGAGCAACTCATTTAAACAGGCTTAGTGAGTAACTGTATATCCAAACACAAAAGACAGACAACAGGTAACAGTACGCTGTCTAATTGAAAGAATGTAATTATAGAGTTAACTAGAGCACCAAATACAATCTCAGAACACTACTACCAGCTGCCCAAAAGCTAGCACTTTAGGTCAGTTGGGTAGATTTTTTTTCTTATATTGCATTATCTTGTGAATATTCCTTTTGAGTCTGATCTGTACCCTTTTTTATGCGAGTAATCCCCCTGGCTTCAATGTAACTCCTCCCAGGAGTAAACATTCATGAAACAACTAGCAGGATCAGGTAATACAACTCTGGAACTATGTAAAAATTCAGAAAGTAGCAGTTAGAATTCCCTTTGCAAACAATTGTAAAGACTGTAAAAGAAATAGGTTTATATACAATAGGCTCAGCTGCTATAATTTACACATTAAGATCTATCCTAAGGCTTTCTCTGAAGTAATTGTTCAAGTGTCTATCCTATCAGACGGTTATGTATTTTATTACATTATTGTGGTATTATTCCATCACACATTGACTATTTTCCCTCTGTGACAAAAAGAAAGTGATTCCCCATAGAATCCCTGCATGCAATATCCATTACAGCTAGGTAGTTTGTCATCCTGACACACACACATTCCATGTCACCCTATTCTTGAGACAGGTCAGTTTAGTAAATTGGAAATATCCGTTTCACATTAGATGGAGAGAAGGACTCATAAATACACAAAAGATGGGTTCAAGCCTGGAGTCGCCTTGTGGGAGCCAAAGGAGTGCTCACTACATAACGGCTACAGATCAGGCTTGCATTTATCAGTTGATACAAACAAATTCCCTTCTATCATTGATTCTCTTCAGCTGCATCAAACTATCAAAAAAGCCCCTTTAACGGTTGATTCAGAACTTCAGCACAGTACTCTGTTTCAAAAGGCAATAAACTTTCATCTTTACTAGAAGACAGTGTGCCATTTTCCTCACCAATTAAATTCGGGGGAGAAAGAGCTACAGGAAATAGGGAGCATCTGAAAAAATTGCGGATGAACTGACAGACTGTGGCGTATACAATGATCTCACATGGCAGATTTTACAGATATCAGTCATTTATTGTCAGTGACTTTGGCCTGACTGCATGACAGGTGAAACAAGAAATAACATACATGCATCAACGGTTGTCAAGTCTAATTACTAGGATTTTGCACTAACTAGTGGCTATTAATGTAAACACTCTAAACCACAACATATTTTAACTTCTTTATTCTGCCACTGAGATCCTGACATTCAGATACAAAAAAAAATCTAAAAGGACTTAAAGATTTGAGGGGAAATTCTGTGTTGCACTTCTAAGAGGCACAGCAAAAAAATAATAGGAGTTAAGGTGGCTTTAAGGCATTCTCCCAATTCAGGGCTGCTTCAGGTATCTGAGAGGCTCTCAATGTAACTTACACAGCTCGGGGGGGGGGGGGGCCTACGTTAAAGAACATCTGCAGGTTGCCCTGTGGGCTGAGCTTGCAGGGCTGTGGCCCTGACGCATCACACCCTCTAAACTGGGGCTTGCAAGGCGGTCCTTGGGAGACAGTTTCATAGATGTCTTCTGCCTTTCTTGTGCAAGGGGAATTCTCCCCTGGCCAGTTATGTGGCTTTTGGTGCCTTTTTTCATGCTGCTCTGGTCCTTTTGCACATCATAAAGGAATCAGAGCAGAGGCAAGGATCTCACCTATAATATATATGTACAATTCATTACTTTCCTTGTAGTACTGGCATTTTGAATGCTATAAAAGAAAAAAAACCTTGCTGTTAGAATGAGAATTTTATAAAGGAGTCTGATGTAACAGAGAACCATGGTAGAGAGGACATAAAAATACCCCATATATTTACAACTAGTGATAGTTACATTTAATGTAGTAGTACATCAGTTCTAAAATAGGAAATGCAGTGATGTGGTAAATATCCAGATGCCAATGACACTCACTCTACAGAAGACTTCAGATACTATGAGTTAATTTCATAATAGAAAACTGTAAAAGAAATTGGAAATTGCACTGTATTTAGTATTTGAGAGCGTTTAGACTTATCACTGAGAATTTTTCATGAGGTTCCATATAATGTATCTCATTAGATAGAAGAAAGAGAGAGGGAATCTATGACTGTGTGACATAAACATTACTTACTCAATGTTATTCTGCAGATAATAGAGAACTCCAAGCTCATTGAGGGTTCGAGCATTATCTGGTGTGTCTTTGCCTAATGTGAGCTCTTCCAACTGCAAGGCTCGTTGACGTAGAAGAGCAAATCCAAACTAAAGCAAAGCATAAGGTAATGAAAGACCATCAGCATCAAAAGTTTAATATCTACAACTGAAATTCACTCCTGTGCAGAAGGACAGCACAAGGCCTTTGCGCCAAATAGACCCCATGTAAGCCCTATTTTGAGAATTAACGGTTGCATAGGCCTTTTGTTGGTCCTCTGCATGGTAGTGAATTACACGCAGTATGCCTCCATGAAATAACAGGACTGGAAGGGACCTCAAGAGGTCACCTAGTTCAGTCCCCTGCCTCATGGCAGGACTAAGTATTATCTAGACCATTCCTGACAGTGTTTGTCTAACCTGCTCTTAAAAATCTCCTATGATGGAGATTCCACAACCTCCCTAGGCAATTTATTCCAGTGCTTAACCACCCTGACAGTTAAGAAGTTTTTCCTAATGTCCAACCTACACCTCCCTTGCTGCAATTTAAACCAATTGCTTCTTCTCCTATCCTCAGAGGTTCAGAAAAACAATTTTTCTCCCTCCCTCTTGTAACAACCTTTTACATACTTGAAAACTGTTATCATGTCCCCCCCAATCTTCTCTTTTCCAGACAAAACAAACCCAATTTTTTCAATCTTCTCTCCCAGGTCATGTCTTCTAGATTTTTAATCATTTTTGTCACTCTTCTCTGGACTCTCTCCAATTTATCCACATCTTTCCTGAAATATGGCATCCAGAACTGGACACAATACTCCAGTTGAGGCCTAATCAGCGTGGAATAGAGTGAAAGAATTACTTCTCGTGTCTTGCTTACAACACTCCTGCTAATACATCCCAGAATGATGTTCGCTTTTTTTGCAACAGCATTACACTGTTGACTCATATTTAGTTCATGGTCCACTATAACCCCCAGATCCCTTTCCGCAGTACTCCTTCCTAGGCAGTCATTTCCTATTTCGTATGTGTGCAACTGATTGTTCCTTCCTAAGTGGAGTACTTTGCATTTGTCCTTACTGAATTTCATCCTGTTTACTTCAGATCATTTCTCCAGTTTGTCCAGATCATTTTGAATTTTAATCCTAACCTCCAAAGCACTTGCAACACCTCCCAGCTTGCTATTGTCTGCAAACTTTATAAGTGTGCTCTCTATACCATTATCTAAATCATTGCTGAAGATATTGAAGAGAACCGGACCCAGAACTGATCCCTGCGGGACCCCACTCGTTATGTCCTTCCAGCATGACTGTGAACCACTCATAACTACTCTCTGGGAATGGTTTTGCAACCAGTTATACACCCACCTTACAGTAACTCCATCTAGGTTGCATTTCCCTAGTTTGTTTATGAGAAGGTCATTCAAGACTGTATCAAAAGCTTTACTAAAGTCAAGATATACCACATATACCACTTCCCCCCTATTCACAAGGCTTGTTACCCTGTCAAAGAAACCTATCAGGTTGGTTTGACATGATTTGTTCTTAACAAATCCATGGTGACTGGTACTTAACACCTTATCTTCTAGATGTTTGCAAATTGATAGCTTAATTATTTGCTCCATTATCTTTCCAGGTACAGAAGTTAAGCTGACTGGTCTGTAATTTCCCGGGTTGTCCTTATTTCCCTTTTTATAGATGGGCACTATATTTGCCCTTTTCCAGTCTTCTGGAATCTCTCCCGTCTTCCATGACTTTTCAAAGATAATTGCTAATGGCTTAGATATCTCCTCAGTCAGGTCTTTGAGTATTCTAGGATACATTTAATCAGGCCCTGGTGACTTGAAGACATCTAACTTGTCTAAGTCATTTTTAACTTGTTCTTCTCCTATTTTAGCCTCGGAGCCTACCTCATTTTCACTGACATTCACTATGTTAGACGTCCAATCACCACCAACCTTCTTGGTGAAAACCAAAACAAAGAAGTCATTAAGCACCTCTGCCATTTCCACATTTTCTGTTATTATCCCCCCCCCCCCAATTGAGTAACAGGCCTACCCTGTCCTTGGTCTTCCTCTTGCTTCTAATGTCTTTGTAGAATGTTTTCTTGTTACCCCTTATGTCTCTATACATTCTCAATCTGCTATGCTCTAGTTTTGCCTTCCCTTTACAATATGTTCTAGTCTTCTTAAATTTTTCAGTCCAAACAATATGTTTCAATTAATTTCTTAGGTCTTAAGAACTTAAAATGGAATTCAAGCTGATGTATAAAAACATTATAAAAGTATTACTGAAGGGTTTTGTAAAGCTTCATAGGAAGGCTCTGTATGGCAATACGTGTCATAAATGATGTGGAGTGAGAGTAAAAAGTGTGGCCAGATACTTCAGAGACCTCTTTGATAACACCCCCAGCCCACACGAATAGTTCTAATAAAAAATGTTTGTGTAACTGAAATCATTATGAAAGTTGACAAAGTGAAATCCTCATGAACAGATTTTATTTTTCTTTAAATAACTGTGGTGGGAACAGTGACATTTCCGTTGTTTTTCTTTATGTTGCTTCAACTATATAGTTCCTAGTGGAGTTCTTGTAGTGTGGGTGCTTCTCTTCCTCTATGAGACAGAGACTGAGCCTAGAACTAGAATTCCCGTAAGAGCTTTATGGCAGGAGAAATAGAAGAAAAAAGAGTAAAAAAAAAAACCCACTGAAGAGCCATAAAGAGGGAGCACACTCTTAGGGCTTCATCCTTAAACCACTACCAAGTATAGTGGTTACTGACATTGTCACCATTGTGACATAGTTATCTATGGTAGTAGGCACTATGCACAGAAGTATTGTAGAATTAGGTCCTCAGTTACCTCCTACAGAGCAATTTCTCTAGTTTCCTTTCAACAACATATAGTCTCAGCATGAAATCTGAATCCCCAAAGTCTGATATTTGGAGGGTTTCTATATCCACTTATTTATTTTCCATCGCTCACCACTATATTCCAGTTGTACTTATCCACCTTTATTTCCAGTGAGGTTGAAAGAGCAGACACTAATGCTGCTCCTAAAGTGGTTAAGCTGGCAAACTTTCAATTATCAAAAGCACTTAAGCATCAGATTTTTAGAACACCTCCTCAAACACACTTCATCATCCATTCAACAAAGCCACAGCTAGCCCCTATTTTGATTAAGTATCAAATCTTTACCAAATTGCCTTTCCGCCTTGCTGCTTTTTGTCGCATTTTAAAGGATTTTTTCCTCAGCTGTTCAGCTTGTTCATATCTGAAAATAGTTATTTAAAATGTTAGACATCATACATGGCAACGGTATAGATTTTGGATTAGATTTTCAAAAAGCCACCTAAGTGACTTAAGAGCACAAGTCCCCCTGGAAGTCACCTATCAGGTTTCAGAGCAGTAGCCGTGTTAGTCTGTATCAGCAAAAACAACGAGGAGTCCTTGTGGCACCTTAGAGACTAACAAATTTATCTGGGCCTAAGTTTTCATGGGCTAGAACCCACTTCATCAGATGCATGAAGTGGAAAATACAGGAGCAGGTATAAATACATGAAAGGATCGCACGTTTTGTCAAAGATGGAAGTATGCAAAATGCTTCTGACTGCGTTAGGAGTGTTAACAGGTTAGCAAGATTCTTCTGTTACTCCTCCTTCTTAGCGGGTGTTGGAATCCTGCATAGAAATGCTGACTATGTCTTAATTCCACCCCAAATATAAACAGATGCAAGTTGCTTTCTGCATAGAGAGAACTGGCGAGTAAGACAAAAACTCTACAGGCAATGCTAGAAACTTCTTAGTTTGAAGGAGAAACTTATGCTGAACTATTATGTTATTGCCACTGCCCTTAAAAGAAAATCCCCAAGAAAGAGGAGTGAGTTTGAACACAAATCTAGAGTGCGTTCTGCAACTGAGAAGGTAAGGACTCAGAGTCTTGGTTTTCCATGATTTGGTTGGAGAGTAATTTGCAGAGGAAGAAAGAGGAGAATTTTGGCAGTTTCCTCCAGAATTACATGCAAGTACAGGAGCTTGATCTGCAGAATCAACAGTACAAACTGTACCAAGGAACTTTTTGAATGAGTGTTACACCAAAGTACATTTCCCGGGGAAGGACTCCTTACCTTTCTCCCCTCACCAATATCACTAGCCTACTTGCAATGAGCACTGGGAAAGGATTTGCCTCATAAGAAGTGTCAGGATATCTTCAGTATATTAAAGTATGTGTTGGAGAAGAAGGATGGTCTTGTCTTAAGGCACTGGATTAGGACTAAGGAGATCTGGGTTTTGTTCCTGGCTCCACCAGAGACTTACTGTCACATTGGAAAGGTCACTTAATCCATGTGCATTAAGTATTAAGGGTAAATCATTTTCGCTACTCCATAGACATGGTGTTAAAATAAAACAAGTAGGATTTGGATACATTTATTCTTCGGAGCACCCATAGAAATCTTCAACCAGACTTGTAAATTCTACCTCCACATTTGCCTGAGGTTAGTAATTTGTTTTTGATGGACAAGTAAAATATCCTTAAGATATTTTTCTCTGTTATCATCAGTCACCCAGGTAAAGATAGGTGAGTAGATGCTGCTGCTCTTAATAAATAAATAAATAATAATAAATACCATCTACCTCCTGTGTTTGGGTTGGTAAGTATTGGCAACTATTTTGCGAGGGTGACAATTGTACCAATACAAGGGCATTTTAAAAAAATATTACTTTGTTATAACTATATATTTGAATAATACACAAATATGTTTACTAATCTTTTTCTAGACCCCCCCAAAAAGTCTCCTCCTCCTCTTGAAACAAACAGATAGTTCTCATTAATATTAATAGCAGTTCTGCACATGCATCAAAAGGAAGTTAAATGTATTAAAATGTGTAATCGTAGAAACAAATAGACAATGTAACAACCTCAAAAGACTTGCATGTTATGACAAATCCAGGAAATCACCAATACTATTAACCTTACTTGTTCTGTTTCTGGTATAATGTTGCAAGTGCATCCAGTTCACGAGCAACCCTGGGATGTTCAGCCCCGTAAGCATTTTCAGAGATTTCCAGAGCCTGCTTATATAACTGCTCAGCATTTCCAAACTTCTTCCACTGCACATACACTCCTGCTAACTGATGGAGGGACTGTGCTACCCTGGGGTGATCGGGATCCAGTGCAGTCTCCCGAATTTCCAGAGAACGCTGCAGAGGAGCAACTGCCTGTAATAAAGGAGTTGAGAACGTGACTAGAGCAGGTAAGATAATATACAAAAAACACTGCAACACAAACATCTTGAAAAGCACATACTATGCTCTGCTTAAATTCCTTGCTTGCTTGCTGTTACAAGGTATTCCCTTTGTTCCTAGATGCACTTACCTGGCTGAGAAGGCCTAGATCTTTTAAGAATCGTCCCAGAGTTTCATAAAGATCAGCCAGACAGATCATACTTTCCTCTCCCTCGCAGCTTTTCTCATATTGCTTTAGAGAGTCAAAATACTCGGCTGCCATTGAACTCTTATCTTTTCCGACAAGCTGCCAGTAACTCAGTAATTCTGCAAAATGCCCCCTGTTTTAACAAGAAAAGTAAGTAGTAAAATACAGAACACCAAATCTCCGTGCTCAGAACCAGCTACCCTGCTGGAGGGCAGGGTGCAAGGAAGGGGAATATGCATGTCAGGAATTTTCTCTCATGCTGCAAAGTGGCTGCAAAGCAGCTCTGTGAAGGCTACTGTAGTCCAACAGTCAGAATGACCTATGCAGCACCTTACTGGTCTCCCAACTGTGAAGCAGTGGAAGGACAGAGGTCTCTGCATGACAGTGGATTCACTGCCCCGCCCCCAGGCGCACCTACATACTGCCATGTTCAGAGCACCCACAAACAAGGTTCACGCTACACCGGGATATCCTGAGGTGCACAAAAGGGATAGGCTGCAACAGAACAGCACTGGTTCCCATGCCTTGGGTGCTTTGCAACCAGCCAGCCAGGCAGGGTATCCCATAAGTGGTACCTTACTAGATATCGCCATATAACTTTATACTTTGCTATTTCTCACCACTCCTTCAGTTAGCACCCTTCAGCCAGCTTTCAATCCCTGCTATAGGGTTACATATTGGCCTAGTTAAATTTCTTCCCATATTTGTGCATTTTATCATTTCTATTATTTATTTTTTAAAACAAAACATCAAAGACACTTTATTTCATGCCTTTAACTGAACACCAAACCATTTCAATATGTTTGTACATATGAAGGCCCTGGCTACTCTCTTACCTTTTGTAAAGATTCTGAGATACAAAGAGGTTCAGGAGACACTTGTGTAGCTTCTGCTTGTTGCCTTGTTGTTGGAAAAGCCAAGGAAGTTCATCTGCACTTCTCCAAGTCACTCTGCCTTGACTAATGGAAGAAAAGCAACCAAAATAAAACCCCTTTCCATTCCTAACATTTAAAATTATAGGGCTTGCTTTGGAAAATAGTAAGTCATACAAGTACATGGACAAACAACCAGTTAGCCTCTTATATCACCAATTACCTGACTTGTGTATGCAATTTCCCACCCCCTTTTTGTGAACAGGAGGTCTATAATATGAAACTATTAACTACAGCTTGAATCAAAGATCCAAAGTCTGTCTTTGACTCTTTACAGATTACAGATTATTAACAGATCTACAAAACTCATGAAATACAGGGTAATACAAAAACAAAATGTCCCCAAGTTATCCTTAGACTGGTCAGCACACCCTCGTTTACTGACATGTTTTCATGCAAACAAAAGTTTTACAAAAGGGCAAACCCTGTACCCTGTGCGTAGCCTGAATTTCTAGGCTCTGTGCCCAAATGGTTCATGAGAGCTGAGGAAGGTATTGTTTCCTCCACCATAGATTGCTCCTGTGTTCTCAGGCCTACAGTGCCTGTTTTTTCCTCTGTGTCCCCCCTCTCCCTGGCAGATTAGTATGGCCATAAAGACTATAACATTTTTTGTGTTCTGAGGAGTTCTGAAATACCTTAGCTGCATGGTGAAGTAGTCTATTAGTTTTTCTCTGTAAGTAGAAATAATATTTTGACCTTCTTCCATGTATTCTAGTCCCACCGTTTCCCAAGCCTGAAAAAGAGAGTTATAGTACTCAATATATGTCTGTTACATACTAACAATGCATGGGGCTCCCTACAAGACACAAGTGGGAAACAAGGATCTTATGCTGAGGAATTTGAAATCTTTTTTTTTGCTAAAGGGATCTTCAACTTGAAAGCAAATTACATAAAAAATTAAACAGATTTATATAGGATGCTTGTGTGTCTAAGGGAAGACAGCAGGCCATACTGCTTTGATTTACCTTGTTGTAAATCTAGAGAAATATAAGTGGATTCAAAGTTACTCTTGGAGTTACACCAATGTATTTAAGAGCAGAGTTTGGTGAAATATTTCTAATATAGTGGAGTATTATTTGCATATGTCTAAATGTATGGAATCTTACCTGGAGGTGCTGAAACTTTAGCAGACCACAGCCATATGTCAGCATACACATCTTGTGCAGACTGTGAACTAGAGAGGCTAACATGGCACAGGATAGTTCGGGATAAAGTTCCATCAGCTCTGATTCACTCACTCCATTGTGGCTAACACTGATGAGACAGAGAACCTGTGTAGCCAAAACATTCATGTTTTCATAAGTTTAACAACTGCTCAATGAGTAACTCAGGTATACTGAATCCCAAGACAAATACTGAATGCCAGGTTTTAAAACATAATACAGGATTCCTTGATACATTTAGTACACAAAGTACATAGTACAGTTACTGGGGGTGGGGTGGAAAACAGGCTTCACAAATTAATTCCACCTAAAGATGAAGTTATGGATGTACAATTCAGGCAAAATTCTGCTAGGTTACACTGGTGTCAATCTGGAGTCAATTTTATTGGCTTCAGTGGAATGACTGAATGATATACTGGAATAAATAAAGGCAATATTGGGCCCAACATAGCTTATAAGACATTGACTTCAGAAATCTTTCCAAAAATATACAAAACCATGTCTCTAGTGAACATTGTTACCCAAGCATTCTAGAAATATTTATGTAGTCTTACCTTTAATACAGTAACTGATTTCAAAGTAGGGACGATTTAGATTGGAAACATTATAGAAAGGGTAAATTATTCATCTTTGGGGTACACATAACTACGACTGTTACGCAAATTTGTCAATTTCCATTTTACTACAGCAAATTAAATACATATTTTATCCTTCAAAAGGTGTTTTGTTGAAGCAATAAGGGAACTTCAGAGATTGCAGTTGTTCGAGATGCTATACAATATACAACAGTACAATATAAATATCTTAATCTCATAAGAACTTCATGCACCAAAATTGCCTGCAAATACAATTATAAGTATTACTGCTTTCACTTTCTGAGACAAATTTGTCCCTCGTGTAACTTTAATGAGATGGATTTGGCTATTAACTTTTTTTCTTCTTAGAATAACCCAAATATTAGATACTGGCTCTTGAATGGTTGTGGATCAATATCTTAACAGAAGGGCAACAAGATGGAGCAGTACTTAAGTGTCTGCTATAGACCACCAAATCATACTAGAGAACAGGATGACTGGCTCCTTAAGCACCTATCTATAAAGTATAGAGAAAAAAAAGCTGTTATTATGGGGACTTCAATTTGAGTGACATATGGTGGAGCGCTCATGCTGTCAGTTCTAAAATATCCTCAGAATTTCTAAAAGTTACAGATGATTATTTTCTAACTCAAGAAGTGTTTCATCCAACACAGGGGAATTTTGTATTAGACCTTTTCTTGACGAAAGGAATTGATCACAGAACTAAATATTTGTGGTTGCTTAGTTTAAGTGAACATCGCTTGATTATATATGTTAAGTGCAGAACAGGACACAGTCCAAACTAATGCTATATATATTTGGCACTTTAAAAAGGGCCAATTTCACACAACTGAAAACAATGATGAGTCAAGTCAACTGGGAGAAAGAATTTACACAGAAATATGTGAATGATAATAGAGAACTGTTTAAGAACATCTTACCCAAAAAACCACAATGCAGAATGAAAGGCTAAACTGGTCAAAAAACAACCCAGCTTAGAAGGGAAGTACCCTCCTTCCCCCCCCCAAAATCAAACCAATACATAACAAATGGAAAAAAAGGGACGCTGATGGTAATGAATATAAATCAGAGGCTAGGAATTGTAGAAAATTGATAAGAGAAGCAAAAGGACACCAGGAATAATTTATGATCAGTGGAGTTAAGAACAATAATAAGGAGAAGTTTTTCAAGTATATTGGGACCAAAAGAAATCCTAACAATGGTATCAGTCCATTACTAGAGGAAAATGGTAGAATTCTCAATAATAATGTAGAACAAGCAGAAGCATTTAAATAAATATTTCTTTTTAGTATTTGGAAAAAAGCCAGATGATGTAGTCCTATCATATGATGATGAAATATTTTCCATTCCACCAATAACTCAGGAGAACATTAGACAGCCGTTACTAAAGACAGACATATCTAAATCAGCCAGTCTGGAAAACCTGAGTTTTAAAAGAGTTGGTCGAGGAGTGCTCTGGATCATTGGTGCTGTTTTTCAATAAGTCTGGAAATATTGGGAAAGTTCCAGAGAACTGGAAGAAAGCTAATCTTGAGACAATATTTAAAAGAGATAAATGGGATGACCTGGGTAATTATATGCCAATCCACCTGATATCTATCCTGGACAAAATAATGGAATTGCTGATGCTGGACTCAATTAATAAAGAATTAAAGGAGAGTAATACAATTAATGGCAGTTGACATGGGTTTATGAAGAACAGATCTTGTCAAACTAACTTGATATCATTTTCTGATGAAATTACAGGTTTGGCTGACAAAGATAATAGTGTTGATGTAATAAATTTAGACGTCTATAAGGCATTTGACTTCGCACCGCACAACATTTTGATTAAGAAACTAAACTAAAATAAAATCAACATAGGACACACGAAATGGATTAAAAACTAGCTAATTGATAGATCTAAAAGGGCTAATGTGATCCTGGGTGTATAAATAGGGAAATATCAAGTAAGAGTAGTGTTGATATCATCTTTACTGTATCCAGTTCTCATGTCCACAATTCAAAAAGGATGTTGATAAATTGGAGAGAAGAGCCACAAAAATGACCAAACAATTGGAAAACATGCCATCTAGTGAAAGACTCCAGGAGCTCAAACTATTTAGTTTATCAAAGAGAAAGTTAAGGGGTGACTTGATCACAGTTTATAAGTACCTACAGGAAGAACATAACTTTGATAACAGAAGGCTCTTCAATCTAGCAGACAAATGTAAAACAAAATCCAATTTAGACAAAATTAAAAAATAAGGTGCACATTTTTAAGAGTGAGGGTAATTAACGACTGGGACACCTTATCAAGTGTTGGGGTGGATTCTCCATCTCTGGAAATATTTGAATCAAGATTGGATGTTTTTCTAAAAGATCTGCTCCAGTTTAAAGAGGAAATAATTCAGGGAAGTCCTCTGGCCTGTATTACACAGCGGGTCAGACTAGATGATCACCATGATCCTTCCGGCATTATATTCTATGAACCTATGAATTATAACTTTGAATCAATGAAAAGTCCTCAGATACTTTCTTTTTATTTAATTCACAGAAACTCATCCGGAGGAAAGGGAACACGTTTCTTCCAAAAGTTTCCATTGCAATGTTTGCTTACCTCTCTCATAAGGTGTTTGTCTTTATCGTTCAGCATGGACTCCTGAACTGATCTCAGAACAAGTCCGTACAGCGATACTGTATCTTGACACTGGAAACACTGTTGAAGGATTTCATCAATATTTCCTGCACTTCCAGCACTGAGCGAATGGACAAGATTAGCTTTTTTAATATGTTAAATTTGACAACCATAAAGCGCATTTAAGCTATTAAAGATCTTCATCTTGTGAAGTGCTATGTGCCCTCAACTCCTTTCTGCCATTTCTGCGGCCCCAAGCAAAAAAAAAAAAAAAGCTGCGATCGGCGGCGGCAGTTCAGCGGCAGGTCCTTCGCTCCTAGAGGAAGTGAAGGACCTGCCGCCCCTCTCCTTTGGCCGCCCCAAGCACCTGCTTGTTAAGCTGGTGCCTGGAGCCGGCCCTGCTTCAGGAGGTGCGCAGCATCTTGCAGGATTAGAACCCAAAGAATTTAACACCTGAACACAACTACCAACATATGCCATAAGTGTCTCCCTTTTGTAATAAAAAAAAAAAAAAAAAAAAAAAAAAAAACAA